TGTTTTGACTTTTGGCTGAGAACACGGGAAAAGAACAAAGAAAGGGAAAGAAAGAAAGGACGATACAATGAGATATTAAATTCTGCTGAGATGGTGGAGACAAAATAATTAATTGGGTGGTGTCTGTTGGTTTGAAAACCAAAGCAATAAGAGAGAAATCTAGAGTGTCATCAAGTCTGCCATTGATCAGAAGTTTATTGGTTCACAGGCAGCAGGCCAAAAGCAGCATCTTATCCCAAACTAATAGCAGCCTGCTGGACCAAGACAACAGCAATTCACTACTGTGAAACATTCTTACATAACCAAAGGTTTCACAAACATGGCAGAAAGTATTCCACTAATGTTTATTTAATCGTTTTTATTTTATTCTGAAAAAGTGAAAGTTTGTGGTTTAGCATGTCTACATTATGAGACTCACTCAGACAGACAGCTAACAGAGGGAGAGACAAGACTATACTCACACTGAGCTGAATGGACACAGGCGGAAGTAAAGAGGGAAATGCAAAGACAGCAAAGACCCAAACACAGAAAGTTATCATCACAATAAAACAGGAAGTGAATATTTCTGAGAAGCACATAGGCAACACCAGGGAAGAGAAATTCACAGAAACAAAGATGTGAGAAAGGGAAACAAAAACAAAACAGGACCCAAAAATCCATTTGTAAAAATTCATTATTAACGATGGACAAAAAAAAAACAGAACAATCTCACGTGAGGGACTTTATGAGCTATATATAGTGTGTGGCCAGGGTTTTAAACATAAGGCACGTGGACCAGAATTAGCCCAGCAAAAACTCCAATCTGGCCCACTAGATTTCTTTGGAAAATGTGAAGGAAGCCATACATTTGTGGACTTTTAAATGTATTTTAGTAAGTTTTGGATCTTTTCCTTCTGATAAAGACTCTCCCCATCGCTAGTCATACTACAGTAATAGATTACATTAAATAACAGAAAATTTCCCTTTTTTCACTACAGACTTTTTTCTTCTGTTTTTTCTACAGTGGGCCACCAAAAAGCACATTTGCTATTCGGCTTTGTAATTACAGCACCATCTGTGTGAGTGCAATGAGGTATCGGGATGATTTTTTCTGTAATTTTACACATTTATTTCTTACAATTTAAACCCAAAGATTAATTCTGAAAGATGTTTTTCCATTTATTACAGCAGCATTTCTGTGCTGCTGATATTGCACTTATTTTCTAATATTAATATATCTATATGTTATGTGTCTTTATGTGGCCCACGATGTAAAATTTGTTTCACATCCCTGGTGTATCGTCTCCTATAGCCTTTCATAACACAGTAACATAGTTACAAAAAATAATTTCCAATAATTCAAGCAATCATAGCATATATGGATTTCCAGCTTTATAGCTGGCTGTCCAACACATTTCAGCTGGTCTCCCCCCTGGTTCAGTACATCTACAACTTCTGCATCTATCAACTCAGCTTCATCAAGAATTCAATCAACAGCTTGACAAATTTGTAAGGAACACTCAGTGCTTAGTCCATATCTGTCTCTGTGACCTTTTCAAAACAAAGCACCTCACTGAAAGATTCTGCTAAATTAGTCCTTTTGATAATCTGTCTTAACCCAGCTGTCACTAGAGTCTTAGTCTAACATGTTGTCATCAACAAAGTACATTTCTGCCTGTCCCATGTCAGAGCACCTAACATTTACACATGGCTCTTCATCTGCAACAAAAGCATCTACACACACAAACCAAGACAAAAAACCTTTGTCAACACATGACACATGACATGTTAGTACTCAACAAATACTAAACCAAAAAGCAGAAGCAGTGTGTGAAACGCTAAGTACATGCTAGCTGCCTCTATAGGAATCAACAGGGTAGGTATCAGTGAGCTGCTACTAATCGAATGCACTTAATTAACTGGTCATCAGCAAGTGTGAGCAACTCTGTAAAAGTAGAAGGTTTGGCATTCAGGTGTGTGTTCACACAATGCCAAGGAGGAAAAACACCAGCAATGATCTCAGTATATATTTTGCTCTGTATCTCTAGTAATACAGAGCAAAGGCTCTTCTATAGAATCTCTATTTAAATATTTCCCAGACTTACTTCACTTGTTCTTTGTTTTCTGTGTCTGCTCGAAGCATTCACTTTGAACTCACTCACCTGTCCCTAGAGTCCCCTCTGGCTTGTGAGGACACTCACCTCACTTATGCTGCTCTGTGAATAAAGTCTGCAAAGCTAGTGTCACACTGTCACGGTGTCTGTGTTCAGGTCCACAGTTCTTGTGAAGCCATGACAGTGTTGTTGAGAAAACAGTTCCCCAACAAAGTCTACTGAGAGCCGAATAATCGTGATAAGCAGGCACATTATGATATATTAGCAAACCAAATGTCCAATTTTCTTCTCAAGCAGAAAATAATCATCGAAGACAAAAGCTGAGTTTTGGCCGCTGTTTCCTCGGATCTGTGGTATTCTAAAATAAGAAGATAAAAAATTGGCCAAACTGGATGTGCAGCAACGGGGAAGAAAGGCAGCAAAAAAAACTTTTTAGCCTTGTAATAATCAGAACTTGATTACATGCACACTACAGGCTAAAGTAAACTCAAGGACTGTGTGTGTTCACCATGTAGTTCATCTGCAGCAGCTGATACTGAAAGTGAACTCATGTTGAGCTCCGAGTAAACACTCCCCTGAAACAGCACAGCGTACAGTAACACAGCTCGATGATGCTGTATCCCACAGCAGCTGCTTAGCCTCTGTCAATCCATCATCGATCAGTTAGAAACCTTTACGTGCAGAAAACACATTTAAAAAGCCAGAATCAGTTAATTATCTTCATGCTTCTTGGCTAGCTCTACCATCTCCTGGAGGTGAGTTCAAATGTTTTGATTTTATGTAGTGGGAAAGGCGGTATGTGGGATTACTGAATATTTAGGCAATGTTGAAAAGGCTGGGAGCAGATCAATAACCAACAAGTCCAAAGGTGTTTTTCTGTTTTCTGCCTGTGTCTGGCACTTTTAAATCGCAGATCACTGATGTTCTGAATGCATCCACCCTGAATATTAACCCTTTATCTCAGAATTTTATCTCTGATAAAGCATTAGCGTGACTAATGAGTAGGCGGGGCATTGGCCAAATGTAAAAGAAAAACCCCAAAACATGGTGTCTTGAAACCTCTACTTTGATTTTCACTCAAATCTGTGCAGTTCTATGGTGGCTCACAAAGAAAGTACCGGTATCAGGTTGTCTCTGTAAGTTTTATTTACCTTTGCAAAGGCGTCAAACAACAATAAACAGAACGACAGCAGTATCTTTGACCAAAGAGCGATTGTAAACCTACAATATTTATACACACAAGTCATCAATCTGCCACGGTCACAGGATGCTGTTAGAACACCGTGTGATAAACATTAACTCGTACATCAGCATGTGGTGTAGCTGAAATATGACATGTAGACACAATAAGGCAATGCGGAGCTTGTTGTTCAGTTAGGACAGTTTGACACAGAGAAGTAGTTTAGTTATAAAATCTTCCACAGCACTTTGAAATCGTCACCAGTTGTCTTTCACCGAAAGGTATTATGAGAATTTTCCCCAGCGTTGCCCCTGAGTCCCTCCTCGGTTTGAATAAGGTAAATGAGGCTTATATGAGTTATTTTAATTGGTGTGGATTCTGCACTGAATGACTGATGGAGTTCACATCTGTAACCCTTGTTTCATAACAGTGTGAACTGTGCTTAAAATAAATCAATAAATTACAGTGGTTAAGTTTTTATTTAGAGAACAGCTCTGACATGAATTTCTACCCAACGTCCATTATTAGCATCATGATTGCAAAGCTTTGCTGTCCTTCAGCTTAAACAATCTATTTAATTCAATATAGCACACACGAAACAACTAATACACCACTGGATTGGTTCTTTCTTGACCCAGAAGCTGTAATTTTTAGTTTGCAGAACTAACACATGCTCAATTTCATGATAAGTACATATTATTTAAAAAAAAATTTGTCACATTTTCACAAATAACAGCGAGTCACCTGCCTCTAGAGTCTTGTTTTCCACATCAGCTTCAGATTACGTCACTCAAAATGTCCCATGTTGCTTAAATATTTATGAGTTGATAGAGAGCAGAGATCACAGCAGATGCTCACGATCTAAACTAACATTCACTGTTATTGAGTTAACTATATTAAATGCAACTTCCTTCAGGTGAAACTCTCAGAAAAGCGAATTAAATCCAGGAATAGAAGAGCGCAGAAGTGTGAAAACATGGTTAATCATTTCTGGTTGTAGACATGCACATGCTGGAAAAGCAGAGTCACGAGCTGTCACCTTCTTAATCAAAGACTGTAAATATCACTAAAGAATAAATAAATCTACTACCCAAAGCTGGAACTAATATATAAAGAGAACAAACACCGAGTTCCAGAATGTTTGAAGAAAACAAAAAAAACCCCAAAAAAACCCAAAAAACCAAGAACTAAACAAGTTTTTTCAGTTTTTGATAAAATAATCGCTGTTTTGTTTTATCTATTTATAAAACGTACATATCAGTGTAGCTTTTATATTTATATTTAAGTGACAGGTGTTTCCTGTCTGTGGTTCCGTTTAACGAACGTTACGCTTCATCGCTGTGGGCGGAGGCTGAGACTCACGAACTCCTAGTAACGGCCCTGGATGTGCGCGCGTGCACTGTTTGTGTGTGTATATGGGTGCATGCTTGCGCGCGCGCCATGGCGTTTAAGTACCCTGGACAGCGCCGTGCGTTGTGCACAGAGGAACTTCAGCCGAACGCTCCTCTCCAACCAGAGAGCCAACGCTTCCCCCACCTCCTTGTTTAAATAGTTTGTTAGCCGCTTCTGTAAGTTCGCTCCTCTTCTCTTTACGCTTGGATACACTTTTTTCGCCTCTTCCAGTCGGATATGAAGCAGTAGAGCAGCGCCGCCCTCGGAGCATCGAGAAGCGGACTCCCGCCTCAGCGCCTCCCTCCTGCTGGAGCTGGAGAGATGCCCGGGGCAGGATGTGCTCCAGCCGCAAGATTCTGTGGAGCCTGCTCCTGCTGTCCTTGGTGGAGGTGGGCCTGGGTGTGGCGAGCATCGTCCTGGGAGCGGTGGGCATCAGCTGGGTCCGGGGCGATCATAAACCGCAGCAGGGAGACGCTTCTCCGGTCTGGAGTGGACTCTGTGTACGTCCTTGGAGCAACTCTTGTCGCTACTTTTTGTCTTTGTCTCACTTTCCCAGAGGATAAGTATCTCCAGGGATCGTGCTGAAAGATGAGACCGTTAAAACTCGAGGGAATTACCTTGCTCTTTATAGAGCCTGCTAGAGACAGCATGCGCTGCATGTCTGTAAGCATTAGAATATCAAAATAAGGGAAACATATTCTGGTCATATAAGGGCTAAAGGACTAGACTAGAACTTTAATATATTTATACACCATAAATTACAGCACCTAGGTTAACACTGATATTTAAAATGTGCAGAAAATCAAAGAAAAATCTGAAAGATTTTTGTATTTTTCCCTCTAAAACTTCTCAAAAAACTAATTGACTTCAAATATTTTTGTCTTATTTAAGCTCCTATCAAATAAATCCATTCTGCTTACAGAAATTCTTTGTTTGAAAAAGTGGAATTTCTGTTCATATTTGTGGTTGTTTTCAAACTTTCAATACCTGGTGTGGTTTTGCTGACACAGCTTCATATGGTATTTGCCTATAAAAGCCTGGCAGACACACAGCCATTTGGCCTGGCGCACTGGAGCTAAAGATTGGCTTTATTAATTGATGCTTGATTTACTGCTCATTGCTTGGAAGGGTCGGAGCTTTTAGACCCATCTACATCCTCTCAGTCTATTGAATGTGTCTGCTCCTGTTTCTGTGCTGCTCTGAGCCTCATTGTCTCGATTTTGCCACAGAACATTTAAAAAGTTTGTTCCTGGCATCTTAAGCAGCCACATACCTTGAATCATCTACTTTACTGTGACAGTCGCTCCAGCGGGGGATATATAGTCTATCTGTCAGCAGTTATAGCTGAGAATTACTATAAATGCCAGGAGCTGAAGCACTATGAGTCATACAGAGTCATCTATAACATTATCATCGGTGTGAGACGGCTGCTTTGAAAGACTGCTTAAGTGTAAATATGTGGGTGTGCATCAGACAGAGGGGAAAAAAAGCATTTACTGATATATCACAGTATATAGGTTCCATATCCAAGAGTTTCAGTCTTCTTTCAGGACCTGGAAATTATTGTAACCCACTGACCAGTGACTTTAGAGGACACTGACTCTCCAACCTTTGGTGCCTTATTGTGTTGAAACATTGTGATTAATAATTTATCATTTCTGCAACTTTGGATTAAGTTTCAGAACAGTGGAGCAGTTTGGGTTTTGGTTTGTTTTCTTTGCAATGAACAGCAAACCTGAATCGTGAGAGTTTTTGTGAAACAGGAGAATTGTCTATTTAAAAGATCTCCAGTTTTGAAAGCAGGCAGAGCCCTAAAATGATAAAATCATATATTCTAATCTATCTACTGTCTAATTACCTGATTAGGTGAATAGGGCAGTATAGTTATAAAATTGTAAGAATGTTTTTACAGTGAAACAATTTAATGACCTAAAGTACACATGAAGATTTGTGTGTGTGCGTGTGTGTGTGTGTGTGTGTGTGGGTGTGTGTGTGTCAGCTCAACAACTTGATCCATAGGTAGGAGACTTTATAAAGAGCTGAAAGCTCTTGAGGGACTCTAATAAGTGCACCTGGCTCTTAGAAATATTTATCCATCCATTTTCTTCTCCTTATCCAATTATCTAAGGTTGGGGTGGGGCTGGTGTTTATCCCAGCTGCCATAGGGCGAGAGGCGAGGCTAACACGGAGAGGCTGTCTAGAAACATTTATCTATTAAATAATAATAACCAGACAGTGTAAATTATCCTGAAATAAAAAATAAGAGGACGTGTCTCCTTTTTCCACCAACATCCCTCTGGAAATGTTATTTTTAGAGGGAGAAAACCACACGTGGATAACTGATTTCAATGACTGTTATTTTCAGCATTTCCCATTGTTGCATCAGGGACGGGTGCCATAAAAAAAAGAAACATCTAAAAATTTCTCATGACAAACTAACTTGAACTCACAGAGGTGTTAATTTACTTGCTGTCTTTCTTTGTTTCCAGTTTCTGGTCTGCGGGATGTGCGGCGTGCTGTGTGCTCGAAAGAGGACTGGCCTTATTGTAAGTACATACATACTGAATGAGCTCAGTTTATTTCTCCAAGTAATTTCCTTTTAGTTTAGTTAGTGATTCACATTTCAGCAGTTTGTACTGAGCTATTTCCAGGATGGTACCAGTTTCTAGGAATTAGGCAGAGACACCAGGAAATAGTTCAAGAAGGCCTGTAGCCTTTGCTAGAGGTAGAAGGTAGATTTTGTTTTTTTTAGCTTTGAACTGAGCCAGGTTGTTTTCTTGTTTCTACCTTTTATGCTGAGCTCAGTCAAGCTAACTGTCACGTGCCTGGGAGCCTTTTTCATTCAGTATTTGCTGGAATTATGATGCAGATGTCTTCTGTTGTGGATGTCAGATGCAAAGTCATCTCTATCAGGAATACTGAACGCAAAGCATACACAGAGTCTGCATATTCGACAACGAAAGAACACCTAAAGGTGTGTGTGTGTGTGTGTGTGTGTGTGTGTGTGTGTGTGTGTGTGTGTGTGTGTGTGCGTGTGTGCGTGTGTGTGTGTGTGTTGCAGCAGGTGCAGTCAGTATGCTCTGAGAGAGACATCTGAGGAAATAAGAGGAGACAAGCAGTCACCTCTCTTCCCTTTCTGTCACTCTTTCTGTCTTTTTTACAGTCTCTCAGTGTCTCCCAGTCCTGGTGTTTCTCTCTGACTCCCTGTCTCCTGCAGGGAGGAGACTAATGATGGATCAATGTCAGCGCAATCTGCTGTAACAGAGACATCCCTCAACCTTTCTTTCCCCCCATCTCACCCTGTCCAACTTTTGTCTCCCTGTCTATCTCCTCCTACTCATGCTTTTCCTTTTTTTCATCACTATATCTATCCATCTGCCTCTTCCATTCACTCTGTCCCAGCCGTTATGTCGACGCTGCGACTCTCTCCATTTTTCTCTCCATCTTCCTCCAGCGCCCTCCCCATGTCTGCCTGTGGGGTGATGATTGCATTAGGTTGGTTTGGCTCCGGACCCCTGCCAGCCACTTTCCACACTTCCCTGGGTAACAACTGAAATACGAGATGCCGTTTTCCATGTGGTTAAAGGCACTAACGGCATCTGCACAGGGAGCGGTGAAAGAGGGCTTGCACTCCAGATGGAATACAAACACATTCACAATTAGTGGGAAGTATATGAATCATCTGGATTTTATTATCTTGATAAGAAGGTGATGGAAGTCTAACTGTTTTCTCATCAGATTCTACCCAGAAACAAATAAATAAAAAGATGAAAAAATCAGATTCTGAAACTGGGATTTAGTTTTCCTGGTCCCGATCACAATTTCCGGAGAAGTAATCTGTAAAATGCGATTCATTAAACACACAAATCAGACACACACTTTAACACAGACACGCACACACAAATACAGCAAGTGAGTGATGCAAGCATATTTACAAGCCGCACATCGCTCCTGGAACAGGCAGTCGGCTTTGAGAGTGATCCTATTTTATAATGGCGAATGAGATTTATTTTGACTGATAGGCATTACTCATCGCCGCAGCCTCGCTCCAAAACAGCAGAATGATGGAGATGGAAGCTCAGTAGTAATTTGTATATCTCCGGTCTCATCGCATTTTGTCACTTGGTTTACAGATTGGTTGATAAGGTCTCAATTTTGCGGCTCACCCCCCTTGTCTTTCAGATGATCCTCTTTTCAGCGTGCTGCATCTGTGGTCTCATTGCCGGGATCTTAAACGTCCAGTTTGTTCGGGCACTGAACAAACGGCCGGACAAGATGCAAACAATTCACCTGGCTGCAATGACTCTGGCTTGTCTAGGTAAAGATAATAACAAGGACGCAAGACGTAACACAATCTGATGTGACGCAATTGAAAACAACTCATGTCTTTGTCTATTTTTCATCGTAAGATAAGAACGTTATTAGTCTCTGTTCAAGTATTTGAAAGGGACTAAATGTGGGGGTAAAGATAAAGCATTTCTTTATTAGTCACCTGTCAATACTAACAGTCACTTTTATCTCAACACTATCTCAACAACTCTCCAGTGCTCCTCCACCCTCCCCAAAAAAGCTTTGTCAGTTTTATTCAGAGAAGAAGTGCCTCTTCATTTCTTTTCTGAAGGTCTGCCAGCGTACTAGTCGCTCCATGAGGTTGTGCTTGTGGCTAAATGTTGATGCCAGTGTTAAAATGGATCCTTTAGTAGGTATGTAACAGTTTTAGCATGCAAACCACATTAGGGACATAATATTTGCTAGTTAGCGATACATCAAAGTCATTTTGGCTTAAAGAAATTGTCAGGGATTAAATGCCCTAGAAGTCTCTGAATGGAGCCATAATTTCAAAAGTAATCAACCAGCAACTGAGTCCATAAGCCCATTAGGAGAGAATTTACCGAGGACATAAATCAAGAGCGAGGTAGTTTAATTTTCTCATAGATATTATTACACACACACACACACACACTCACAACTCTGAATTGGATAAGTGGAAGAAAATGGATGGCTTGATAACTAAATAACTGAAATCAAACGAGGCATTGCAGCGTCGGCTTTACTTGTACCTGAAGGCTACGTCCATCTTTTATGCAGTCCATATACAGACTTTGGCTGAGACATAGGACTTCATAAGTGAAACTCTTTCCATACTAGCACTAAAAAATAGAAATCAGACGATCATCCAGTACAGTATGTTTTATCCTCTGGGGACTGAGTGTTTTTCTGTTCACTTCTGTGTAAAATTTCCTTTTCCGGTCTTATCCAGGGATCTCGACCTGTACCTTATCCACGTGGCTGACTTGTCGTCTGGCAAGCTCGGAGCAGCAAAGGATGTTCTTGGAGAGGGAACACTCGCTACATCATTCCCATGAGATGACAGAGAAGGTAGTAAACTGCATGACTCATCTTTAGCTGCTGTCGGAAGTTTTTTTCCTAAGCAGGTTTGTGTTTGTGTGTCTCTAACAGGAGGTCCTGGACAACTCCAGTAATGGTATTCCTCAGATCTCCTATAATGGACACACCGCGGCATCTCCTTGAGGAAGTTTCAGCAGGAGGTGACTTGCAGACTTAAACAGAAGCAGTTACTAAAACTCGTGCTGTCACGCAGCTAATGCAGCTTGTAGTAGACTGCATTTAACTGTATTCTGACTGCAGGAACTGAACCAAATTTGTCGCCTTGGAACCCGTTTACCTGCTGCCTGATGAAACGGAGAGCATGAAGGAGCCGTTTGTGCTTCTGAATATTATGCAAACATGGGTTCAAATACCTTCGGTTTAAATCTCACCAAAGCCGGGATGGTGAGCTGCGGTTTGGATGACAAATGAAGCGACAGACATCTGCGTGAAATCCTCCAATTTGTGAGCGTGAAGGATACATTTCATCCAGTCAGATCAAAGCGATGAGCACAAACCAAGCATGCAACTGATTCACTTGTTTAGAAGAGCTATTTCAGTCTCATCGTCCTTATTCTGTCTCTCTCTGTCATGTTATTGGTTTATGGAAGCCAGATCTTGAGATAGCCTTTGGTAAACTGTATGTATCATCTGATAATGGAATGCTTTGAGAGAAAAGTTAAAGTGATGCACAATGTACTGTATGTATCCATGCTTGTAAATCAAACATATTTTTATAATGCTTCTTATAAAGTTCATTCAATTAAAGTACGACTAATAAAAGAATTGCACAGTCTTGCATGTTGTTTTACTGTTGCTGTGTTAAATACGTGTTGAGATGAATCTGGTTTTATGATCACAGTTTATGCAGATTAGCCTTTTTTTAATTATACAGTTGCCAATTTGTGTGTTTATAGTACATGAACACACATGTTTGTGGAAGTGTGTTTGTGTTTGTGAAGTATGTGAGGTTTGAGTAAAAATGTGATGGGAGTGACTTTTCAGTTTGTAAGCCAGATTACAGCATTTTAATCAATACACTACATCATTGTAGGTGATAGTAAGACCCAAAGGTTAAAATAACACACTGAAAAATCGCACACTATGAAGAACCGTATTTAAATGACTTAGTCATATTAACGAGATCCAGGTGTTTTTTAAAAACAAAAAAAAACAAAAACACACACAGAGCAACCATCTCACACCTTGCGGGCTGTCTTCAAGCTCAGGTCCTCTTGAGCTTGAGGGTCCTGCGCAGTATCTTTGCTGTTTCTAGGACTGTGCTCTTCTGTACACAGATCTCGGGTGTTGTTCCTGGGATCTGCTGGAGCTACTTGCCCTGTTCAGAGAGTCACTGCACAGAGTAATCCGATTACCACTGGGACCACTGTTACCTTCACCCTCCACACCCTCCGAGTTCCTCTCTCAGCCAGTGGTACTTCTCAAGCTTCTCATGATCCTTCTTCCTAATTGCTATCGGTATACAGCCGTCTTCCTCTGTTTGTCCACTACTACTGGTTGGTTAGCCGTCACCAGTTTGTCTGTCTGTATCTGGAAGTCCCACAGGATCTTAGCTTGGTCATTCTCGACAACCCAGGGGGTGGGTCCCATTTTGATCTTGGGACTTCAAGGTGATACTCAGCACGGATGTTTCTGTATCCTATGTCGGCCACTTGGTTATGGCATTCCACGTGTGCCATGCCTGTTAGCATCTTGCATCCTGCTGTTATGTGTTGGATTGTCTCAGGGGCATCTTTATACAGCCTGCACCTGTGGTCTTACCTGGTGTGGTAGACCCCCTCTATGGATCTTGTACTTAGAGCTTGTTCCTGTGCTGCCATTGTTGGTGCCTCTGTGCTGTTGCGGTCTTTCAGTCCAGCTTTGTCTACCACTTGTATGATTTCTGGATTTCAGCCACTTCCTCTATCTGTGCATATGCAGTGCCTGTCCTTCCATGATGGTCCTTATTTTTTGTGTTATACCTCATCAGTCACTTATTGCAATAGTAGTTGTATCTTGTGGATGTTGGAGCACTGAAGTTCAAGTTTTGATGTTAGTCTAAATGCTGGGTGTCAAAGAACCCATAGGTCCCACATCTTCATGTAATCCCTGTGTAATACCATCCACCAGTTATCTATTTTCTCTTGTAAACACATGCCTTATACTTGTTCTTCTTTCATTTTATGTGCCATTTTATTTATTGAGTTATTTACAAACTATTTCCTCTACCATATTTGTCCCCAATATATTTAACATTTTTAATTTCTTTATCCAGTATGGTTCTTTTATAACTAAGCTATTAAATAATGATACAATCAGTAAATAACAAGGGAAGTTATATTGAAAAATACATAACAGGGGAATTTCTAGAGATTGAATTAAATACAAAGAAAATCACAATATCCATGTTGATATCCATGGATATAATGACAATAATATATTTGTTGGGTTGAATTTTAGATTTTAGCAGTTTCAGTCCTTCATAGCATCATCAATTCAGAAAGCCACTGCATTCTTATGAGACCACAGTTTAAGGCAATGATGATGCTGTTCAGGGTTCCCACACTTGTCGTAAAGTTAAGTAACAAAGTAAATCAGTTTCATAGCACCCGTCAGACCTGCAAGCTTAAAATGCTTCACAGAGGAGGAAGAGCAATAAAAACCTGTTTCCTCCACACACACATGCTTGCACACAAACACAGCTGTGACCTGTTATGAAGATAAGCTCTGACAACGTCATTGCTGCTCAGCACCTCATTACAGTGTTTGCAAACTCCTGAGAGAAGCTCCAAACAGAGATGTGTGTGCATCTGCGTGCATTTATGCATGTTTGTGTGTTGACTGGGGCCCACAGCAGCAGAAGCCACAGGGAGCTAAGAAACCATGCACTATTTATCACCGTGACAACAGACAAGAAAGGGCCATGGCTCCTAACAGAGCACCGGGTCTGCGATTCCTGTGAGAGTGTGTGTGATAAAGAGAGAAACGCTGAATCATGTGACCTCCTGCGGTGCTGCCCTGTCAGAAAACAGTAACACTAGATTCATCTGTGCATGTGTCAGGATATTTTCAGTGCATGCCTGTGTGTATGGCTGGACACGCTGCACTAGTTGCACTAATTGACACCTCAGGTCACCCTAATGATCTTAATGTGGCTCTGCAGGTGAGAATGGGATACAGAATCAATGATCATCTCCTACCCCACGAGCTCCCTAACAGCATCCCTGCTAGGACTATCAGGGCCGAACTTGTAGATTACATAACAAAGGGCATCAGGTAACTTACGTAAGCATCATAACAGCTATATACAACAGCAAAGCTGCATGGTGTTCATTTTAATTTGCTAAAATTTTGTCATTTTGTCTAAAGTTAAAAGTGATGCTGGCAAATGTCTGAGCCTACTTCTGCAGGAGGTTTCTTCCTGTTAAAGAGGAGTTCTTCCTTCCCACTGCCGCCAGGTGTTTGCTCAAATGAAACACATTTATCTGTGGCTGCAGTTACTTTGCAGGGCTAAATTTTATTTATAAATTTAAAATGTGAAAATGAAATAGCCACTCAGAATAAGTTCACCATGTTACACAGGACATTCATTATTTAAACTAACAGACAGTTTGGCCACATGCAACATTTAAATCCATCAACATGTTATGCCAGGAAACATTAAAGCATTACTGCACGCAGACTAGCCATGTACAGCCATTAAGTCTGCAGTTGCTCATTTATAATCGTTAAAGAGTGTAAAAGTGTTTTGATGATGATTCGGTCTGTGCTCTGCAGACAAAAGGGGCAGTGAGTCATACAATTCTTCATATCTTCTAATGCTTTCAAGGATTTTACAATATTTCTGTGTCTAAAAAAACAATTAAACACAATACTTTTTGACAACCATTACTTAAAGATAGTGAATGGGACCTAAAATAAACTATTAAATAAGCTTGCAGTATGAAGTTTGTGGAGGGCGCTTCTCTTCTTCACCAGCAGGGGGCAACAATAACAAATGTTTTTAACAGCAGTTCAACAATCCGCAAAGCGGAAGTCACCTCTTGTTTGTCTTCCGGTCTTTCTACGCAGCATGGCGAATTTGGAGCATGGTGAGGACAATCCAAAACATGTGAGAATGTCCGGTGAAACTCCCGACGTGTCCGTCCCGGACCAGGCGGCCCAAGAGACCCCAGCACCGGTAAACACTGCTGCCGCTCTCCCGTTATCGATCCCGTCGTTCGCCGCTGCCTCCGAGCTGTTGTCAGCGCCTTACTCGTGTCTGGTCGTGAACACCCACCGGAGACACATCGCCCTGCCGCCCGTGTATCTAAACAAGAAGAAGACGGGGATTAAGGAGGAGCTGGAGGCCGAGCTGCTCAAGTTCTCTCAAAGGTGCTTCTTTTTTTTTCCCCCGCCGACGTTTTTATCCAGTCAATGAAGCATTTTGAGCCGGACAGTCCACTTTCCCACGAACACAAACACGCACACGAGCTGTGATGTCCTCTAGCCGCTGAGTTTTCGTGTTGCTGTCTCCTGTGTTGTGAAAGAACCTAGTAGCTACTCATGAAACATCCTGTTAGGTCCTTTATCGGACACACACCTGCTGACGAGGTGGTGCTTTTAGGGGTTAAGAAGGTGGTGTTGGGAGGCTGTCACTGAAATGCAGACTTTTAGCTTTAATTCAGGGCATTGATTGTCCGGAAAATACAGCCAATGTGTTTTTAAATCCTTTACAGTCAATGAGTGCCTAAAGTCTAAAAGTCATGAACGTCACATCACCAACTGCTGTTTCTTCCTTTGAGAAGCTCTACCAGGTCTCTACTGCAGCCACCAGTTGCTGCTTATTTGTGGGCAATAACTGCATTCAGTTGTTTGTTCAGTAACTGAAAACTTGCTGTATTTAGTAGAGCTCAGGTGACTGACTTGGCCATTGACGATTATCTCTGCTCTTTGCCTCGGGAAACCCTTGGGTTTGTGTGCTTCGGGCCATTGTCCATTTGCACTGTGAAATCAGTTTTGCAGCATTTGTCTGAATCTGAGCAGAGACGATCGCCAGGTCGTCCTGCTGTCACATCATCTATAAACACCAGTGATCCGGCTCCACTGGCAGCCATGCATGCTCATGCTTTAACACTTCCTCCACCGGGATGACGGATGATTTTGCTCTCTCTTATAGCTTTACTTTGGTTTTTCAGCCTGATGAAGATCATCTTTGTATGCACTGATATCTCTATGGGCCACATAATGATAGTTCCAGTGAACAGCTACAAAATACAAGTTTAAAATTCTTTATCTGCTTAATTTATTGTTTAACACAGAGAGAGCAGGCCTCTCCTGGCTAAAAACAAACACCTGTTACTGTCCTGTTACTTGTGAGCCTCTGAAACTTGGATTAAACAGTTAATGTAATTATTTTGTTAAACCCCTTGAGTTAAAGTTTATAATCTGAACTTGAATCACATCTTAATTGTTTGTTTTAGAATCCACTGTGGTGCTCTGCGGAGGTAAAAGTACCAACAACGTGTGATTGTCTGCAAAATGTATTTTATGCATGAATCACTGCGTGCGGCCTTTTTAAATCCTTTCATACACCAGTCAGCTTTTAAAAGCATTAAAACCAGTAATGGTAACGCAAAAAGGTTTGGTCTTCTCCTTTAAGTAAAGCATTGTCAGTTTAAATAAACTGTTAATGCACGAGATGACCCTGTTACTGTTGTCTCTTTCAGTCTGAACGGAGTCCCCTTGGCCTACGACAACATCAGGATAGTG